AAGGTACAATAGATAATGTGAAATAGGAAGAAAAGGGGCAAAGGGGAAGGGGAAGTGGGAGGGGTAGGGGAAAGGAAAGAAGAGAATGGAATTAATATGAGAAAATGAAAAAATGGAAACAAAGTTTTTGCAAATAGCGAGGGGTGGAGGGGATGACAGGAGGGTAGGGGAAGGGGGAAAAACTAAGAATCAAGTTATATTATGTAGGGCTGGAGATTTAGCTCAGTGGTACAATGCCTGCCTCGCAACCTCAAGGTACTGAGTTTGATCCTTGGTACAGCCAAAAAAAAAGGATATATTATGTAAAGGTACAAATTTCCAATGATGAATGTCATTATATTGTATACCTAAAATGTACCAATAAAATTAATTAAAAAAATAAATCATTATATACTGCATAATGTATCCAGTTATTACACTGCACTCCATAAATATGTACAACTAAAATAATAATAATAATAATAAATGGTATTGTTTTAAGAAAAAAATAAAGGTGAAAGCTATATATCACTAGAAGGCTTGCACTAAATAAAAATTTTAAAGGACGCTTTCAAGAAGAAATCAGATGCTTACCCATTGAAGTTATTGTCCTCTATCTCTTTTTTCCACCAGTACTGTCCAGTTTTATTAACTTAGGATTGAAAAGTGGACAGATATTCAGGATGCAACAATTTGAAGGAAATCATCACATACTCTTTTTCACAAATGTTTTCACAGAGCCAATATAGTACTAGCCATTAATCCAGTATTCCAAATATACTGAAGTAGTAAAGAGGCAACAAGAAAAATTTAGAAAAACAGTAAAACACTTTTAGTTTCTTCTCTTTAGTCCCTACAACAGCATCTTACAGTCTTGATCTACCTATGTAGTCCTACGTCAGTTTCTAAAGTATTTGTCAGGAGGGAAAAAATAAGATGCAGCTGACCAGTACAGACTTTGAAATTTAGGAAGGTGAGGGGGAGAAAGTTAGTTTTCAGAACAATTTAGTTAGCTTTAGTTTCATCAGCAGTATATTTGGATTCTTTGTTCTTCAGCACTTCTTCAGCGTGTTTATCCTTTTCTCGCAAACAGTCCAATGTGGCAGCCATTTGTGTCTCTCGATTGTCTTTGTTAGCTTCCATTTTGTAGGTCAGTTTCTCTTCTGCCATTTTACTGAAGTTTTGGCTCTTCTATTGCTTTTTTGGAAGCACTTCTTTCTCATGCTGTCTTTTCTCAGGAAGCTACTTCAAGACTTCAGCTTCATGGGACTTGCATCTTTTATCCTCAGCTTCTAATTTCTTTTGAATTTCCTCCAGAAATTTGGAGGGGAAAGGGAGAAATCTCTTGACTGGGGCTGAGATTTAGATCAAAAGCCTGGCTTGAAGCTCACTTTTCAGAAGCTACAGTAAATAAAAGACAAGATTCTGGCTGTGTATTCTACACAATCCACTGGTGAGGAACCCCTGCTCAGTCTGAGCTGTCTGGGCATACTCTCTGCTCTCTTCTGTCTTCTGATTTATTAAAACTTCTTCAGCTTTGTTTAATTTGTGTCAAACTTATCCATTGCAATTTTAGTTTTAGATGTGAAGCTTTTCAGTTCTAGAAGCAGGAAAGTTGAGTACAAAAAAGGTAAATATGTAGGTAAATTTAAATCATTGACTAATGATTAAATCATCCACTAATAATGTCATATGTGATAATATATCTGTAATATATAATAATTTAATACATAATAATTATGTCTTTAACATATATGATTATATAGCATTAGTAAGATAACTATTCTAAAGAATCACTTAGAACCCATGAATCACTGAGCTTCAATGGGAATTTTCAGGGGGATCATCTAGTGACCATTTTTTTCTGATGAGCCCAAAGTTTTCCTGAGGCTAAACTTTCTTACAATCACCATAGACCCAGCTGCCCCTGGGCTTTCAGATCACACCTTGCCTGTCCCAGTGGCCACCTTAACCCAAGAGCCCTTGTGAATGGCTAGACCTGAGCTTTCTTTGTTAGCACTATATTAACAACCACAGAGATATGATTGTGTAATCATGCTATGCTAGCAGAAGTATGAACGAAGTTGCTATAATACTTGTTAGGATTTTCAAGTTTTCGTCTCTTTGTGGTTTTAAGAAGTCATTAAGGGATAAAAGCAAAAATGCTGTCAAAATTTGGAAAAGCTTTCTGAAGTCTTTATTTGCAGGGGATTTTGAGGAATGAGCTTATGTATTTCTCCTTATTCACAAGAGGTTTCAGTAGAAAAACAAATGTCAGTCCTAAGATTGGAGAGTCATTGTACATTTTCCCTTTTGTGAATTTCTTCTGAGTCTAGAAGCATACTCACTGACTCAGAAAAGAGGACTCATTCTGCACCAGGAAAAGACAGAATATGGTAAAACTTTCATGTTGTCTTCTGATGCCTTTCTCTGCTACTGGATCCCCTCAGTGTCTACTGTCATTTTGTAACCAGGCAGTTCTTTTTCCTTTGTGTCAGTTTGTCTGATGTTTGTATCCTGAAATAGTAGTACCTTCCTTGTCCTCTCTGGCATGGTACTAATTTCTGCTACACATGATGTTTTGGTCTGCTCCTCAAAATCTCTTCTTTTCCTCCTTTTAGGAAAATTATACACTTAGGTTGGATGTGAAGAAAAGAGAATCTGATGACTTTTCAGCACCTCTGCTGTCATCAATACTATAATCTTCACAGCCTTCCATGACAGTCATTTTTAGCTTCCATTTTACATGTGGGACAAATGAGACAAGATCTCTTTCCTATATCCTACTACATTCCTTGTTTCTTGTGCTGAAAGTCCATACCAGAAACCTGGAAACTTGTGGAGGTTAGTAGTAGAGAGCTGTCTATAAGGTGTAGGTAGGGGAAGATGAGGACCCCAGTGACTTAAACTAGCGTTCAAAAAGAACACCACACATACGAAGCTCAGAAGGAATCATATCTTTAATTGTAGGTATGCCCTATAATTATACTCTGAGGTATGTGGATGTTTAGGGGAGGGCAAGAAACACTGCTTTGGGGAAAACCTCTCCAGCTGACAACTTTTTTCTCCCTTGCCTTTGCTACCTAGCTTACTGCAAGCCCTATATGCCTAAGATCCCTTACTGGTTCCTAGCCATGTTTGCTCTCTGTAGTAGTAGGAAAACCTCATACCATTCCTCTCCTGAGCCATTCTTTGGAAAGTACTTCACTTAATTATAAAAATAACTGAATACATAATGGTAGCAGTCTCTGAGCTGTTTCCTGTCTAAATTTGGACTCAGGGTTTGAATAAATGAAGCATGAGAATAGTGATATTGTACAATAGGCTAAGAAAAGTGATGCTTTTATTTATTTCTGTACCCTTAAGTTTAGCGTAGTTCACCTTTCCTATGAGAGAGCCTGGCCTCGGTCACACCTTGAAATTTCTGTTTGTCCTTTGGGAAAATATCCTTTGTGAGATTTTCTCTTTGTTTTGGTCTTTACTTCTGAGGGAGAAAATTTTCCCTCTCAATTTAAAGAATTTCTAATGTCAGTGAGTGAGGTTCCATTCAGAGATGAGTAGAAGGGAAGAGGGGTTTTTTTGCTGTCTCTCCAAATTATTAGATGACTAGAGTATGTTCCACACTGGGCTAGTGTCTCATATCAGTTATATCACAGGTGGGATAGCTCTGTGCTGCCTTACTTCTCATTGTTTCTCTTTGTCCCTACTCTGCAAATCTCCAACCACTATTCCTTTTCACTTTCCACTACTGAGTCCACTTAAATATTTATTGAAAAAGTAAAAGTCACTAGATGGGAACTACTTACTTCCCAACAACAGACCTCCTGACCTCATGTATGTTTAATGGATGTGGCAAAGCTGCTCCCACCAAAGGCCATGCTCAGCATCTGCTCTGAAACTCTGCTACTTTGCCTCTCTCAGAACACTGTGCCTGCAATTTTCTCTTATTCCTCTTGCAACCTCACTCTATCTACTATATTAAAAAATATCCTCAAGTAGCTTAGGTAATAAAAGAATAATAACAAATTCCAAAGCTTTTAAGAAAGAATAATAAATATGAATAGGGTACTGATCTGGGGTTAGGGTGCTGGGGAGATAATTATCACAGGGTTTAGGAAATCTTTAGACTTAGGGAAGTTTATCATTCCTGAACCTGATTTTTTTAGTAGACATGAAACTCAGTGAATAAAAAAAGAGGGTTAGAACACTTAGATGATTGTTAGGCATAAGAAGAGGTTTCATCCAATTTGCTTCATAGATTCCAAAGAAAATACTGAAGACAATGAGAAACCACAGTATTGTCCTAGAGTTCATACTCCTTGGGCTGTCCGGTGGCACCCACATCCAGGCCCTGCTCTTTGTGCTGTTCCTGGTGATTTACCTCCTGACCATGGTGGGGAACCTGATGCTTCTGCTGTTGGTCAGGACTGATTCTCACCTCCACACACCCATGTTCTTCTTCCTGGGACAATTGTCTTTCCTGGATCTTTGCCACTCCTCTGTGACCATGCCTAAGCTGTTGGAGAATCTTCTATCTGAGAAGAAAACCATTTCAGTGGAGGGCTGCCTTACTCAGGTCTTCTTTGTGTTTGCCACAGGGGGCACTGAATCCTGCTTACTTGCTGTGATGGCCTATGACCGCTATGTTGCCATCAGCTCTCCTCTGCTCTATGGCCAGGTGATGAACAGACAGCTGTGTGTAGGGTTGGTGTTGGGTTCGTGGGGCTTGGCTTTTATGGATGCTTTCATCAATATCCTTGTAGCTCTGAAGTTAGACTTCTGTGATGCTCAAAATATTCACCACTTCATCTGTGAGCTGCCCTCTCTCTATCCTTTGTCTTGCTCAGATGTGTCTGCAAGTTTTGCCACCCTGCTCTGCTCCAGCCTCCTGCATTTCATTGGAAATTTTCTTCTGATAATTTTTTCCTATATTCGCATTTTGCTCACCATCTTGAGCATCAGCTCCACCTCAGGTAGAAGTAAGGCCTTCTCCACCTGCTCATCCCACCTCACTGCAGTGATCTTCTTTTATGGCTCAGGATTACTTCGTTATCTCATGCCAAATTCAGGATCCACTCAAGAGTTAATCTTTTCCTTGCAGTATAGTGTGATCACTCCCATGCTGAATCCTCTCATCTACAGCCTGAAGAACAAGGAGGTGAAGGCAGCTATGAGAAGAATGTTGAGAAAATATGTTTAGTTTTTCAAATAATAGACTACAAATTCACAATGATGAGCAAAGTGGATACAACTACAATAAGTAGTATCTGGACATTAAGAAGGATTTCCTGATATCTGGATCCTTAAGCACATTATTTTTCTCTTTAAAAATACTTAAGAAAAAGTAGAAAGTTATTTTCTTGAAATGATACCAGTTTAGTCCTACTTTGGGGATGATAGAAGGATAAGTCATATATCTTGTCTAGCAATTTTAAAAAATAAAAGTACTATATTTAATTATTATACACAATATGGTAGATATTCTGACTGTCTACTCAGTCTATCTTTACCAGTCTGCCAGAAACTAGTCTGCACCTTCAGTATGGTTTCAGAAAGACTATTCACTGTGGTGTCCCCAATACCCTCCACCCAAACATAGCCATTATTCTTCCTGTAGAGTGGCTGTTTAAGGAACGAATGCATGATCAATGTCAGATCATTAATTGTTTGGGGAATTTTAATCTTGAGGAAAGATTCAGAAGGACAAAGGTCAGCCGTTCAATTTGCAGCTCTTGTACACCCTATGCTAGTGGCCCTGCTAATAAGATCACTAGAAGTATCCTAGATTCTATTCTTTCAAGGCCAGATTTACAAACATGAATCATAACAAGAGCGTATTATTGGATATTTGCATTGTGTCATGCACTGTTAAGCTATTTAAGAAAGAATAATACTTTATTCCATTTAAATATCACAACAAGTGTATTAGGTGAATGCTTTATATATTTATGCCTGTTTCAGAGAAGAGGAAATGACTCAGAGGTAAGGGATGGAACAGAATTTAGAACCAAATAGACTTGTACAAAAGCCTGTTTTCTTTATCAGCTTGACGACTGACCCTCTTTGTGACACTATACATTACTCTGGACTCAATGAATTCTATTTTATAATTTTAATTTTTTGGTACTGGGGATCAAACTCGGGACCTTGTGCTTGCGAGGCAGGCAGCAGAATGAATTCTATTTTAAATGTTTATTGCTATTGTGTTATTTGATTTTAAGTAAGTCAGAATTAGACTCTGTCATTAGCAAGGAAAGGACCTAAAAGAAATATATTGTTAACTCAATGGAATTGCAGGTATAGACAGTTGCGGTATTTGGAATTTTTTATTGCACCTAGGTTGGTTCAACAGTGAATACACATACCATATCTGCTTCAAACTATTGATCCAGTGGTTAACCATCTCTAGCTGTGAAGGGGCCCTGACAAGAGATGATTCCCCAGCTCATCCACATTACCAGACAAGCAGCTCTGCCACTCAGCCCTCACACTGATGTAGAAATGAAACAGCAAACATGAGACAGCCAATGGCAGAGCAAGTTCTAGATGGAGTCTATGTCAGACACCAGGAAGAAACCAGCACAATTTCAGCAGAGATGCCTTAGATCATGAAAAGAAATTGGAGGATTTGTGAGCAAGAGATTTGGTATAGGTGCATGGATTAAATTGATCATGTTAAGGATTCTTATTTCTTTCTAAAGTTACATTGTAAGTTTTACTTACTTACAAGCCATCCATTGCCATCCTTCCTTCAATTTGTATTCCTCAGCAGTAAAGAATATAAATTAGAGAAAACAAGGACATTACTGGTATCTTAAGTACTTTAAAAAAGTAACATAGTTTCTAAAATTCTAGTTGTGTAATAAGTATATTTTGAATGTTCAATTAATGGGGTAACAGAGAATATATTTAAGATGACTTCTCACCAAAGGGTCCCCACTGCTAAAGCATAATCTACAAATAGAGTAGTCTACATGCATCCTTATCAGCCTGGTTCTGGTCCATGAACTCATAAACACTACAAGTATAGCTGGCAAGGTGGTAGTTATTCAAATGATCAACATTTTAATTCACCAAGACTGGTCTGCCACTAGGGAAAGTTATTTTGATAAAGGTCATACATAAATTTTTCTCAGAAATATTACCATATATTTTCTAGTTTTTGTTTTTATTGTGCTAAAATCCAAGTACATTGATTATTTCTAATGTATAGAAATGCCATGGTGTCTTGTATGTTGATCTTGTATCCATCAAGCTTGTTGAGCTATGTTCTTCATTCTAGTCACTTGCTTGCAGACACTATTTAACTTTTAAAGTACAGACCTGAAGAAGCTGGATGTAGGACCCTATAAGAAAAATGCAATCATTTGAAAGTCAGTTTCAGGAGCGGGTATAAGGTCAGAAAGTAATTTTTACCTAGAAAAATAAGGCAAATTTTGAATTTGTCAAAGTATAAAATGGCTACCTTCAACCCACAGTTTATAGAGAGCTGTGATTTTAGGTAGCCTGAACCAGTGAATCTCATTTGAGCACAAGCTTTTGTAAAGTTAATTCCCACCTCAAAACATTCTTTGCAGTGTCCCAGAGTGATATTGAAGGGAAGTTACCAAATTTTTGAGAAGTCTTTCCTGATAAAATTGTCTAGACAGTTGATATTTAGTATATGTAAGAAGGAATTTACTTGTATTTTGTCACCCTTCCTCCCCTGTCACTCCTCTGTCGCTTACATTAATATAGCTTTATGTTTAGAAATTTCTCTTGACAGCTAACACACGGGTTAGGTTAAGGATTCTGAAACTGATGGGATAGTATAGAAGAAAGTCCTTGCAGTTTTCTGTGGCTGACTGATTGGAACCAGCCTGTGAGGGTTTAGTCCATCCATTAGAGTTATTTTCTCCTTGCAGGAAACCCATACTCGCAGTGGTGTGTGGAACTCAGTAGGTTTTTAGGAAATGCTTGCTGAAAGTTGCAGGCTGCATCTTGAAATAACAACTGTTGATGGATTTTTTAGCAGTAAAATGTATCTAAAAAGCTTCTTTGGAAATTATGATGTAAGAGATTAATCCACCAAAGCAATCTATTAGTTGCTTAAAATTCACTGTAGTATCCCAAAATCTGTAATTAAATTTCTTCCAAGGTTGGAACTTTAAAATTGTACTTTTTCTATCTAAATATTAAAATAGAAACTCTGAACCAGTTGGAACAGAGGTTAGCTAGAACCCTTGAAGACATCAGTGTAGGAAAAGATTTTATGAACAAAAC